AATATATATATATATATATGTGTGTGTGTGTGTGTGTGTGTGTGTGTGTGTATAAGCTTACTTTACTAAAATATTGCTTATTTCCTAAAACTTCATGCTTATCTAAGTTTTAAATTATACCCAAGCAGAGAAAGCTTCCTCACCACTGAAACATGGCAAATGTCAGGTACCAAAGACCTCACTAAGACCTTGGATAGAAATAAAGGCACCATTGCAGAACTATTCTGTGATGACCCAACACACACATACACACACGCGCACACATGCATGCACACGAACACACGCACGCGCTCAATGACTTGACTGGTCTTTCCCGGTGTGACTCTGAGCTCCCTTTCTAATGCTAGCACTGAGATGCCCTCTTGACATACCTCCAGCAATCAATCCCAAAGACCTCTCAGTTCATCGCTGCACTTGTTCATCATTTTCCACCTGCAAAATCTTGAAACATATGATGTCATAAGACATTTTCCCAATAATCCAGCTAAATATAAGCACACAAGACTCCAAATCTCAGACTGCTCTGCTACCAAAGGCAGCAACATTATTGCCCTCTATGTCAGCCACCTGACTAGAAAGTCTATCTTCAGATAACCACCAGTGTCCTAGCATGTCCAGATCTTAAAAACAAAACAGACACACAGATTTCAGTTCTGCAAATGTCTAAACCTGCAGAGTTGGTGTTTCCTATCTCCCCCTGCCTCCACTGCAGCGAAGAGTGGTTAAAGATCAAGTGAATGAGTCACTCCAATCCCCTTCATCCTGAGACTGAGGTGAAAAATGACAATGTCCTTCACAGAAAACTACATGGTAGCCCGCCTTGCACTGCAGGACTGCAACCCTAGCTATAGAGGCTGAACCAGGAAGCTAGTGAGTTCAAGGCCTGTCCACACAACGTACTGATGAGACTCTGCCTCAAAAGGAAAAGGAACAGGAGAGCCAGGGATGTAGCTCAGTATGAAGCACTTGCCTAGCATGCACCAGGCCCTAAGTTCAATTCCCAGTCCCATGAACAGCCAAAGCCCATGCTGCTAGAGTCAGCCCCTAACTATAATATGGAATAATTGCAAGCTGTACCTAGAGGCCACAGCACCCCTGACGGGTGAAAGTGTGACATATGACAACAACAAACAGAACAAAGAGGTAGTGTGTTTTGCCCCATGTGCCTCATACCCCAAATGGCTAGGGAAGTGCCTTCAGACCTAAAGATTATCATCAGCTCACAGAACTATTTAGAATCCTCCGAACACAAACGGGGTTGGAAGTATTTCCAAATATAAGCTGGAGTTTCTTTCATTTTTTTCTTACATAATGCCTTAAAATTCAGTTAACCTGTGGGGGAAATTACATGGTTTTATTGAAAATACTCATTTTCCACATGCAGAGTTTAGACTATGGTTTATAAAGTGCTTGGTGAGCCTTTTAATAAATACTTAGAACAACCTCAGCAGACAGAAGTGAAAGGATTGTTTCAGCCATGATGAAAGAAGCCACATGACTCATCTATTGGCCCATGGGGAGGACAAAGAAGTTCTGAAATCCTTGTCTAATTACCAAGTCCTGTGGGCCACCCAAATTCAACCTTTTAAATCACCTTAAAGCTCATAGGTGCCACAGTGGCAGAACCATAAGTAGACTGAAGCTAAGCCCTGAGCCACTCAGCTCGCACAGTTGGACAACTATAGCAATGAACACAACACAAACCATGAACCCCAGGAAAAGGCTGTTCTACACTCACATTCCCAATTGAATGACATCCAGAAAGTCAGGTTGATTGATACAAGGCCTCTGGGCCATCTCTGTGAAACAGAAATCCTGCTTCAGAATGTCTGCCCCAAACTACCTTATAGCTGAGAAGCACAGATGTAGATATTGTTTATATAATTTCTCAGAAAAATCTAAAAGGATGGATTAAGTGCTTGAGTGCTACTTTAGACCGTGGAGGTATAAAACACAGATCTACCCTTGGAGGGCTTAACAACTAGGGGAAACAGATAGACAGTGTCATTAGTAACTAGGCACAGATCAGAAAATGAGAATTATATATACACAGGGAAGAAACAAATATAAACACACACACAAACAAGCAAAATGGAATCTGAAAATATTTCCAAGCCACCAGCTTCCGGGTGCTTAGGAAGAATATTCTGAGAAGTACTTAACTTTTTTTTTTCTTTCCTCTTGTTATATTTGAATCTGCTAAAAAGCAAGGGTAGGTCTTTGTTTAATGTTTTCTCAACATTTCCAAGCCAGTAATCAGGTCTAAGCAAACGCCACTTCACCACTATCTAAAGTGTTACATATTCAGCAGGACAGGCTGCATACATGAGCCTCCTTTCTCCTTAGGACTTAATCTGACAGTGACCTTGGCTACCAATCTCCCTCTAACCAATTTAGTCTGGAAGCAAGCACATCAAGCAAAGGCAGACAAACTCTTTGACTTCAAAGATAAGAAAAGATAAGGACAAACAACAGAAGACCTGAACTGAACAATACGGAGGCCTGTTATAGAGGGCAGAGGAAAAGTTTTACGCACAATAGTAGGTGCTTTTTTTTTTTAAGATTTATTTTTATTTGTAATTGTGAGTGTGGTGAATGTGTGTGGGGTGTGGGTGTTTTCTGTGTGGGTACATGTATGTGAGTACAGGTGCCTGTGGAGGGCAGAGGCATCAGATCCCCCAGCGGCTAGAGGTGCAGGCAGTTATAAGCTGCCTGAGATGGGTACTAGCACTTAAACTCAGAGGAAGAGCAGTATCTACTCCTAACCAGTGAGCCACCTCCCTAGCCCTTTAAATTAACTGCATTATGTACTATTACCATTAATGTGAAATGGGTTTTCCCAGAACAATTCTGCAGGAAGGGCACTGTAGTATAGGAAGGTCAGGAGTTTAAGGCCAGCCTCCACAGCATACATAGTAAGTTTGAGGCCAAACAGACTCCACAGAACCTGATCCCAACAAACAAACAACAAATCCCAAGGGTGTAATGTATAAATTCTAGGGATCTGACTGAATGGCATTTGGCTGAGCTGATCTGGTACTAGGAGATAGACCTGTGAGAGCTAACACTTAAACAGCCACCCACCACTTACTAAATCCTTTACAAATGTCTTGCAGAGAGCCTGGCAGTGGTGACACATGTCTTTAATCTCAGGAGGCAAAGGCAGGCGGGTCTCAGTGAGTTCAAGGACAGCTTGGTCTACAGAGATAGTTCCAGGACAGCCAAGACTACACAAAGAAACCCTGTTTCAAAACAGAAAAAAAAAGTTAAGAATATTCTGTAGAAGTCCCTCTCAGTACAGATGAACTTACGTTAAAGGTGAAAGATGGGCTCAATAATGCTGAAAAGTAAAGCCTAGTTCCTCCAATTCTTAAGACCAGTGACAAATTATAAATAGCTCATATTCACTTAAAACTTATTACAGGGCAGGCATTATGTTAAGCTCCTTGTGAGTACTGAGCTGTTAAATCTTCCCAACGAGTCACTTAGGAGCTGATATAATTATTATTTCCACTTTACAAGGAAATAGAACCTTAAATAGATGAAGTTATTTGTCTTGGGTAATATGGCCTGATTAAAATCAACACTAAATGCATAGTCCCATAAGCAATTCAAAGACATGACCCTAATTAATTCAAATTAGTGACCCTAAATAATACACCAACATTTCATATGCATGGTGTTTCAAATTTCAGTATCAAACACCAGCAACTGTTACTACTATTTATTTTGTATTGTTTTATTTGTTAATCCCAGGACCCATGGAGTTACCTGATAATTGTTATACTTAAACCCAGGGAAATGGTTGATTAAATATGAATCACTTCTACAAACTTTCTGTGTCATTGTAAACTCTCCAAGGGAGTGGTATATGAGAAGTCCCCGAACAAACAGAATAAAAAGTTGTTCTCTACTAAAGAACTAGCCTCAATTCTCTTTGTGACCTTGGATGTGTTACCCAGAACATCTGTAAGGGTATAATAACTGTGACTTCACTTAAACAAGTGCTTTTAGAAATGTTTAGTCCCGCTGGGCAGTGGTAGCGCATGCCTTTAATCCCAGCACTTGGGAGGCAGAGGCAGGTGGATTTCTGAGTTTGAGGCCAGCCTGGTCTACAGAGTGAGATCCAGGACAGCCAGGGCTACACAGAGAAACCCTGTCTTGAAACACCAAAAAAAAAAAAAAAAGAAAAAGAAAAAAGAAAGAAATGTTTTTTAGTCCCAACTGCCCAAACCCCTTACTGTTTCCCTAAGAAATCATACTTCAATGTGCCAATAAATAGAAACATTTGTAAAAATATTTGCTTATAAGAAATTGCAAGCAAATGTTTCTGCCAAGAGAATTAGAAAGATTTTCAAACTGGATGCTACTATAGATAACTCAAACATAATTTAACTATTAAAACATGTTTAAATAAATAGACATCTTAAAGCTACCTCGAAGTTAGTATTATGTATATATGAAGTTCAATCAAAACAACAAGATTGATAACTTTCAGTCTTATTTGAACTCTACTAAGATAATATGCTGGTTTTAACACTGCCACTCAACAACAAAAAAACAGACACCACACATAAGCCTCTAGTGAAGGGTACCTACTTGGGCTATAAGATTTACAGTTGAAGGTGTAGGTCTCAGTTTTCTATGCACTGTTCCCAGAGTATCATTTGGGGCAATTTTCTTGAGCCTGAACTTGAGCTAAATTTGTCGACATATAGGGCAAATCAAGATCCTGTCGTACTTTCGAAGGTGGTTTGGGGATGCAAATCAAACAACAGAACGCTATTCTTTATGAACCCCAAGCAGGGTACAAGATGTCCTGGGTATCTACTACCAGAGAAAGATTACTACTTTCTCTTTGATCTTCTCTTTTACTCTCACCAACTACAGAAAGGATGGGGACGGGGATCTGCTTAGGAAGCTGGGATAGAAAGTGTTTCTGTACTCAAGCATTCCTTCTGCAGAGTTAAAGGCGGGGGGTGGGGGGGGCTGCTCTGCACCTGCTTCTCAGTGGCCTTGACCTGGCAGAGTTCAGTGGTACACTCTCTGCAGGATTTAACAGAATAGCTCAGACAGGTTCAGATCAGTGCATCACTCCAGACACAGCAGAGCTTCCATTTGCAGTAGGGTGGAATTGGCACAGAGACCCAAACCTGGACAGCAGGCAGAGAGGAGAGATTTTAGAGCAGTTTTCCCTAGATGGGATGTCTTCATCAAAGCCCTCCACTCCAGGCTCAGAGATCTGTGGAAGAAAAGGCGAGATGACGTAAGACCCAGAGTGGTGGATGACTCCAAGGAAACATTTCCAGACACAACAGAGACTGTGACAGGTGCACAAGACGTGCACAGGTTCAAACCAGACAAAAATCCCAGCACAGAGAAGGGGAAGTGGACACAAAATCTCACCTCTAACCAGAAAGCTATGTGTACTTGGTAGATGCTGGGAAAAGGGAAAATCAGTTTCCTCGAATGGAGTATCACTGGGTGTGTCAAGCACACTCTAGGGCAGGCCCCACACTCAGGAGTAGCTAGCTAACATAAAATAACTGTGTTTGTTATCTATGCACTGTTTGGTTTGATATTTTTATCTTACTAGGTTTTTTTGTTGTTATTTTCTGATTTATGGGTTAAGCGAGAAAGACAGAGACAGGGACAGAGACAGGAAAGAGAACACAAGCTTGAAGTGAAATGGGGACAGAAATAAGGAAAATCTGGAGTTAGGAGGAAGAAGATGATCAAAAATATATTGCATGTAAAAAGCTTTTAAAATAAAAACAAAAAAGAAAAGCTGTCCTCAACAAGAACTATAAATAAGACCCACATGCTTCCTAAGCTTTTCTAGATCTAGGATGCATTTCCCTCCTTTCTCTCTCATCTACGTTTCTGGAAAAGTGTTGACCTTCACATTTTCAGGCTCTACTTTTACTACCCCATTCACTCTCCAAGAAGCAGCGAGGTTTGCACCAGACGATACTTTACACGCAGAGGTCACTGGATGGCTCTAGAAGGAAAATCTAGGAACCATTTTCCAACAGGTCTGACTGACTAGTAGCAGTGCAACTTACAAATACCCACTCTGTGTGATGCTCATGAATCCACTGCCACCTCTGCCCTTTCTCCTTTATCCATGGATGCTCCTTTCTTCTGTTTCTGAGCTCAGATGATAAATTCCCTATAGTCTTACCTATTCTCTTCCATCTTCCCTAAGGATCTTCTCTATGTCCATGGCTTTAGCTACAATCCAAATGGCATATGAAGAACTTCTCCATCTCCTGAGATAGATGGCATGTGTAACTGCCTTTTATATGTGCCCTCATTCCTACAATGCGCAACCAACTCCTCATCTTATCCTCCAGTCTGCCTCCTCCAAACATTCGCTACAGAGCAAAGGACATCATCTCCTAATAAAGATGAATATCCACTCTGGCATTTCTAGCTGAGTCACTAGCGACCAATACAAATTAGCAAGCCCTGTGACCTCTGTCTCTGCAAAATCTTCCCACTGTTGGTATCTCTACCTCTGCAGTCCAGCCACCACCACAAGCTATCTTCTCTAAACCTGTCACCAAAGTGGGCTTTCTGAAATCGAACCCCTGCTGCCTTCTGGATAAACATTACTCAGAAGAGCTCACATCACTTTCCTTCCAGTCCTTAGTTCTTAAATTTCCTTCTACACTCCTACCACAATCTCATTCTGTCTCCGGTCATAAAGAATTTATAGGAATTAGAATCTCCCTGTTTTCTTTGCCTGGAAGCTGTATTTTTTTCACTGCCACCATCCTTAACCTCTTTATCAACACTGTTCCTCCCAAAGTGCTCCAACCCAGAGCAGCTGCATCTCAGCCTTCAGGTCTGTGCTGACTTCTGAGCTTTCCCCTGACTTCCTAGGCCTGTTTGGAACTGCCCTTATATTCCCCTACAGCATCCTGATTGCCTCCATAATCAGGTCAGACATTACTTTAAAGAGGCCTCTCTGTCTTCCCTAACAAATGGTAAGCTTTCTAAAGACAAGACTGTGTGTCTTGTTTGAGGTTATTATTATACCCACAGAACACATAGTAAAGTGTATGTCTACTCATTTCCCAACTAGCTAATTATCTATAAGTATACTGGATAATACAGAACAAGGCAGCTTTAGTTTATACTCAATTATAAACTGGCTACTCAATATAGCTAAATATAAATAAGCCCCTGCCTCACTCATGAATGCTATGCATAACTAGGGAATCCAATTTGAGACCAAGCTCAAATTAACAAACAAAAATGTTAATTAAAAAAAAACACAGTATGCTTGACATCTCAACAAAATGGCCTCTCAGCTGGGCATAGTGGTGCACATCTTCAATTCCAGAATATGGTTGGCAGAAGCTGGAGGATCTCTATGAGACCAAGCCCAGCCTGGGACATATAAAGGCCCAGGACATCGAGGACTACATAGGGAGACCCTATTTCAACAATAATAAATAAATAAATAAATAAATAACAGTGCCTCTCTATGTTCACTTTAATTTTTGCTTGTAATTCATCTGCCAATGATGCTCACTGACCAAAGCATGTTTTTACTGCATTGTTTGCAGGAAAGTAAGCTGTTCTTTAGTATTTGTTTTTACATACATGTACCAATGAGATAGGAGCAAATTGTATATGGACTTTGCTACTGGCAACCACTTCATTGCACCTGTTACTAAGTCCTCTGAATTATTTGCTTTGCATTTGAAGCTAGCACACAGTGTGGCTTCTTAGGACCCATATACCACATCAGCTCTCAAAGAAAAATTAAAACAAAGACAGCAATTCCTTGCTAGGTATTCTTCCATACCTTTCTTCCAAGGAGCAAACATTGGCTATGATACAAGCCAGCAAATGACCAGGAGCCACTGTGAAGACAGACAGTTTGGTACTGCTCTGAGGGTGTGGGTGAGGGTGATGTGAAATAGAAGAGGGGACCAGTCATAGGGGAAGGAGAAGGAGCAGCCATAGCCTGAAGCCCCTGGGAACTGTCTAGAAAAGAAGAACTCTAAAAACTAGGCCTATATTACTAATCTTTTCTAGGTTGAAATCAGACCTTCTGAAACTAGTTTAGTAGTATCAATATATCAGCCTGCTTTGTAAACATGTAAATGCATGACCTGATTTTCAATCTTTCGAAAGGGCTTCATATTGAGATCACAGTGCATCTGTTCTCTGATACATATTCAATATATACAAGCTTTGGATGCTTGTAGTGAGGGTGGTACTGGCCTCTATCTAGCTTGGTTTTCCTGATCCTAATGACAAGCTCTTCAAATGTTTACACATTCCTCAGTCCCTTATTTCTTAGCTGTACACATAAACAAGGGGGAGGGGAAGAACGTTGTTAACCTAACACCTAAATCCATTCATCTTAAACAAAACAAGAGCTTTTAGCTAGATGTGGTGGCAACACGTGCCTATAATCCCAGCATTACAGAGGCCCAGGTAGGAAGATCACTAGCTCAGATAAGATGAGGAACATTCAAGACAGATTGGCTGTGGACAAGTCTACTAGTTCAAAGCTAATCTGAGCTACACAAGTTCCAGGCCTACCTAGGCTCTATCATGAGACTGTTTCTTAAAGAAAAATTAATTAGTTATAAAAGGAAAAGAAAAGAGAGACAAAGGAACAAGAGTGTTCTTTCAACAGAAGTCTTCACTGATCACCCCACTGAGAAACAACTGCGTGATCTTTCTAGTATTGTTTTCTACCTCAACATTTTCTGAAAGACTCTCTGTTCTATACCTAAATTAGTTATGAATGTATTGTTCCCATTTTTAGTGCAGGGTTTTAGATTCAAAATACATTCGCTATAATGTAGACAACTTTGAAACATTTATTGAACTTTATGGTTATAAAAAAGGACTACACATTGTCCAGGGTTTTGAAAACAACAAAGGCAAAATAAACAATTCTCATTTACCCTCTAACAGAGGAAAAAAACTGTATAACAAAGAAGAAAGAGAGGATAAGAGGAAAAGAAGATAGAAGTTAGTTGAAAGCATACTGCAGGTACAGTTCTCTGTAGTCTTTCCCCCACCTAGCAATGGCCGAACCCTCTCCACTGTTAAAATCCTTCGTAAATATCTTTTTAATAGTTGTATTATGTCATATCTTTTGATGGAATCATAATGTGACTGTTCCCCTGTTACTGGGCACTTATAATATTGCCAGTTCTGTTCTATACAAAGACATTCTCAGCGTTGTGATGAACTTAACTATCTTCATAAGTTCCTTTGGATTTCTAAAGGAAGAATTGCTAAGTCAAAGGGTAGGAGCATTGCTGAGACATTTTACACACTCAGTCACTGTGCTTTTCAGAAAGGCTGTACTCACTGTCTGCCTCTCTGGTATTTGAAAATGTCTGCTCCGTGACATACTGCTTGACATGACTAGTAACACTCTTTGAGAGCTATAGTGCTTTGAGAGCTGGAAAAGTATTGCCTTGTTGTTGCTTTCATGTTCACTTCTTTGATTAATAGAAAGTACTCAATTTAATATATTACCTATTTAATTCCAGTTCCTTTCTATGGCTATAAGGGAATTCCTGCAATAATCAACATGCATAGGGTTCATTTTGGCTCACAGTTTCAGAGCTTTCAGTCTATGGTCAGTCCCACCATATCAGGGACTGTGGCAGGGCCACATCAGGGTCAGGGTGCACAGCAGAGCAAAGGCAAAACGACAGAACAGGAGGACCCAGAGCCCACAACCCCCTTTGCTGGCATTTCCTAAAGACTTCTAACTCTCATAAGCCCTACCCTTTCAAAATGCCTCCAAAGGGATTAATATTTTAACACACAAGCCTTTTGGGACATCCCATAATATGGATGTGTTTAATTTTTTTGTCCATTTTTCTGCTAGATCCTATATTACTTTTCTATCATGACACAACAAATTTTCACACTATGGGCTGCTTTAAAAAATATTTCTTATTTCATAGTCACTAAAATGTTGGCTCAGGTGGGCTGGACTCCTATCTAGAAATTTTGCTAAATAGTCCAGATTCAAACTTATCTGGATTGTTGACAAAAATCCTGGTTTTTTGTTGTTGTTGTTTTTCGAGACAGGGTTTCTCTGTATAGCCCTGGCTGTCCTGGAACTCACTCTGTAGACCAGGCTAGCCTCGAACTCAGAAATCCGCCTGCCTCTGCCTCCCAAGTGCTGGGATTAAAGGCGTGCGCCACCACCGCCCAGCAAAAATCCTGGTTTTGGTAACTTCCTGTTGGTTGTCAGCCAGGGAGCCACTCTTGGTAGTTTTACGCCTTCCAAATTCCTCAAGGCTGCCTAAAGTCCTGCTCAATGGTATCCTCCATCTTCAAATCAGCCACAGTATGTTGAGTTATCTTGATTTCCCAGCCATAGAAAGCTCTACATTTTTATGGGCGCTCTTCAATTAGCCTCACCTTGACAATTTCTGCATTCTAATTTCAAGTGTATCATGTAATATAACATAGTTAGGTAGAAATGTCTTCTATGTGCAGGTTGTGGGGATTCGAGGAAAACAACAACAACAACAAACATGTTGGCAGAAGGACACGCTGGAGGTATGGCTGTCCCAGAGTCTTGGGTGTAAATTTTTGTTATTTATTTGTAGGCTTTATGATAAATCTGTTAAAACCAGTGCTTGAATCTACCAAATCAAATATTGCCACAGCACTAAAGGCAGGCATGGATGAGACCGCTGTGCAGCAATAAAGAATTCTGAGTATACAATGAGAACACTGACACTGAAACATTTTAATTGTAGCAAAATCTCAAAACATAAAATTTACCATGGAAACCACTATAAGCCAGTCATTATCCTGCAGCCCAGTCCCCACTGGTCTTTTCTCCTAGGTCTCTACTCATTCAGCAAGAAACCCTCTACCCATTCACCAAGAACTTCCCCTTCTGTCCCTCCCTGAACACTTGACAATTATCCATCTGCTTTCCAATAGTGAAATATTTTTATTTGATACATTCATCAGACACTTATTCTAGGTACTGTTCCAGGCACTTTAAAAACATCAGGTTGCCAGGCACAGTGGCACATGCCTTTAATCCCAGCAGAGGCAGGTGGATCTCTGAGTTCAATGCCAGCCTGGTCTACAGAGCAAATCCAGGCTAGACAGGGTTACATACATTCTCTCAAAAAGCATACATATTTAATATTCATTAAATCTTCGATGAGGTGGCTATTATTCCCATTCTACAGATTAGGAAAACAGCTAAATTGAATAAACTTTCCAGGATGATGCAATGAGAAAGTAACCAAACAAGAATTTAAGCTGAGGTAAGCTTAAAGATCTTGCTAGAACCATAGCATTGTGAAAGTAAATTGATTACTATAGAGACAAACACATAGCCGGCAGTGGTGGCCGACGCCTTTAATCCCAGCACTTGGGAGGCAGAGGCAGGCAGGCAGAGGCCAGCCTGGTCTACAGAGTGAGTTCCAGGACAGCCAGGGCTACACAGAGAAACCCTGTCTCGAAAAACCAAAAAAAAAAAAAAAAAAAAAAAGACAAACACATAAGGTATTGATGTTGTTTCTTAGTCCATGACATTTACACACTTCTCCTTGGCAATTTAATCTAATATTTGACTCCTAGCTAAAAGTTAGATTATGTTACCAAGGTAACACATGTCTATTGACCTTTAAAGATCTCATTTTTGCTATGGTATTTCTTTAAGTAATGAAATAAAAACTACTTAGTGTTTTAAGCAAATCACTTATAACGTGTGCTATTCTATAATGCTGTATAAGTAAAAGTCACAGTTTGTTATGGTTTATTTAAGATATTTTAAAGAGAAAACCCAGAAGTTCTTTCTAGTTCCATGTATCAAAGAAAAAATGAAGGGGAAAAAATTAAATAACATTTACAACAACATAGCTCAATCTATTTAAGCTGTTACAATAAAAGCCTTACCTTGCAAACTATACATATAAGTCCAGTCTCTATTTGTCTTTTGAAATCAGCAATTTTTTTTTCAGCTTAAGGGATGGGCCTGAGAACTTCTTATCTTGTTTTGTTTGTTTTGGTTTGATTTTTGTTTTATAGCTTAGTAAGCTTTTCGTACAAGACCAATTTGTCATTAGTCCTGTGGCGTCATTTACTATACATTCAAAACGGGCACAGTCAACAGAAAGAACAATCGTCGCGTTTCTCTGGGGTTAAAAGCTCTACTGGGGTTTGGTTTCTATGACTGGGGAGGGGTTACTAAAAACAACACAGAGAACAGGATCACCGTATTCAACTACTTTCTAATTTGCGTTTACTTGAGTCACAAAAATAAACAGCGGGTCATGTCTTCCCCCTCTCTTAGCCACCCACAAATGAAGTGCTATCCCCAGCGCGAAATACAACAGAAAGCGGTGCGTGGGAAGAACCCCCGCGACCCCGGGGAGCTCCAGAGATGCGTCATCCCGTCTACCCCCCCCCCCCCCCCAAGCCCCCCCGCGGAAGGTTGGCACCCCGGGGTTTGGGCCCGGGCCCCGGGGGGCCACCCCCCCCCCCCCCCCCCCCCCCCCGGCAAGACCCCGACCCAGGTAGCCCGCCCTCCTCACCGCCAGTGGCTGCACTCCGGCTGCCGACCATCACGGCCCGGCTCTGTTTACAAGCGGCTTCTCGCGGTCCCACGCCCAAATGCTTCCCCAAGGCAGCTCTGCAACAGGATCCGATTACACAGGGTTCCAGCCGGCGAGGACCGGTCCCTCCTGCGGGAGGAGCAAGCGGCCGGGCGGGGCCTGACCTCCTTATCTCATTGTTTCCTACACAGCCTTTATCATAGGCTTGGTCCCTTCCCTGCTCTTCCCAAGGCCGAAAAGGATGTTTGCAGTTAAAATTGTTACTTGGAAGCTACCAGGGCAGGGTCAGCTATCAGAAGTTGCCAAGAATACGAGAATTTTTCAGAAATAATGCTTTCCAAAAGTAGGAATGAACTGCTTTTCATCTTTGATTAGGTGCATGAATTGCTTTTCATCTTTGGTTAATTGCATGAACTGCTTTTCATTTTTGGTTAGGTGTAGGGTTTTAAAGGATGTGGTTGAGGGAAAGATCTCTAACCTGGCTGTGGGTTCCTAGTCTAGCAGCTAGGGCGTGGGAAAAGGGAAGAGGTCACCTCTCCTGAGGTCTCCTAGAACCAGCCACTTTCCAAGGATGTGCTGTTCCAGTTGGCTGAATCTTCCTTTCAGTTTCCAGCCTTGATTTTCCACCACAGCATAATTCTTAGTCGTTTTTTCAATTAAGATTAGTGAGAGGGCCAGGGCATGATGGCACACACACACCTTTAATCCCAGCACTAGCACTCAGAATGCATAGGCAGGTGAACCTGTGTGAGTTTGAGGCCGATCTGGTCTACACAGAGAGTTCCAGGCCAACCAGAGCTACAGGCTCTGTTGTCTCAAAAGCAAAAGCAAACCAAGGGTGATGTCACAGGCCTTTAATCCCAGCACTCAGGAGGCAGAGGCAGGTGGATCTCTGTGAGTCTGAGGTCCCCACTTGTCTACAGAGTGAGTTCCAGGGCAGCCAGGGCTACGCAGAGAAACCCTGTCTCAAAACAAAACAACAACAAAAGCAAACAAAGCAAAAACAAAACAAAAAAAAAAGGTATGTAAGTCAATGACTCCTATCCATAACCTACTTACTAGTGGAGAGAAATTGGACCCAGGCAAGACATATATATATATATATTTTAAGCCAAATCCTTGAAGAATACACAATCAAACTGTGGTTGTTTGAATAGGTTTGGCTTCCATAGATTCATGTGTTTCAATGCTTGGCCAAAGGGAGTGGCACTATCAGGATGTGTGGCCTTATTGGAGTAGGTGTGGCCTTATTGGAGTAGGTGTGGCCTTGTTGGAGGAAGTGCTCCACTTCTTAAGCCGGCTTAGCGCTTGCCTATGCCTAGGCTCTGCCCAGCATGGACTCAGAGCCTCCTTCCAGCTGCCTGCACTAGACTGTCTCCTTCTGGCTGCCTTGGCATCTAGATGTAGAATTTGGGTCCTCCAGCATCATGTCTACCTGTAGGCTGCCGTGGTTCCTGTCATGATGTTAATGGACTGAATATTTGAAACTGTTAAGCCAGCCCCAGTTAAATGCTTGCCTTGGTCATGGTGTCTCTTCACAGCAATGGAAACCCTAACTAGGACAGAAGTAGAGATATGCTTGTCTAACTAAGACACAAATTTATTCCATATAGCTCCCAAATATAATATTTACTACATGGTAATTGTATTTTAAAATTTCAAATTTAGGAATTAAATTCCAAATATAGTTTGTAGTCAGGAAACTAAAGACACTGAAACAAGAAACACAATGTAAGCAGTTACAATTTTTATCCTAGTTTTTTTGTTTGTTTGTTTGTTTGTTTGTTTGGGTTTTGGTTTTTCAAGACAGGATTTCTCTGTGTAGCTCTGGCTGTCCTGGAACTCACTCTGTAGACCAGGCTGGCCTCGAACTCAGAAATCTGCCTGCCTCTGCCTCCCAAGTGCTGAGATTAAAGGTGTGCGCCACCACCGCCCGGCTTTATCTTAGTTTAAAATAAGATGATTCCAGCATCTTCTGTACTTAAACTTCATTACTGAAAGCAAATTCAGAGTGTAACAACTTAGATTGAAAAAAACAAATTCAAATATTTATTGTTTTAAAATCTATGTTTGCAAAATGACTGAATTTACTTCCTATTACTAACACAGGAGTCCAATAATAATTCCATCTGAGAAGTTGCTGGCTTCTGGGCTAGTCGACATCTAGGAACATTTTGTTCTTTTAAATTCAAAGTAGTTAAATTCACATCAGCATTCACAAGGCTGTCAGCTGCCACTGTCCTCTCTATTTTTAATAGACTGTGTTTTAAGAGAAGTTTTAGATTCTTAGAAGAATTGAGGAAGAGTTCTCTCGGACTTCTTGCCACTGTGTATTAACCACCTCCCTGTCTATGAGCATCCTGCATCTCAATAGGACATTCAGTATCGTCTATGAACCTCCACAGGTGAATCAGTAGTCTACAACTTGCATTAGGGTCACTCTTTTTACCTACTTTGTACAGTCATCCAGGAAGGCTTCTTTTTGAGCAATCAGAAACGTTTTGCTAGAGAATAGAAATGCCAAAGTTCATTTAATATAACCATTGTCCACAGCTACATTCTTAAAGACTTGTAGTGGCCTTCCTTATACTAGCAGAGAGAGTTCAGATTGCATAGCTCTCTACCCACTGGCCTTTACGTGGAGATAGATCCCTTTTTTTTCCCCTCTACTTAGCACTCATACTTCCTTAGGAAGCTTGCACCTGCCTCTAGATCACAATGTACATATGTAAGGAATGCTAATAAGCACATCCTACTCTCTATAGTACCTTCCTCTTGGTCAGGGTGGTTGATCCAGGGATGGGCATTTGTATGAGTTACTTTGCTATGGGCAAATACGTGACAAAAAGCAACTTTAGAGGGGAGAGGTTTGTTTTGTCTTGTAGTTCAAGGGAATAGAACCTAGCATGGCAGGAAAGAATGAGAGAGCCAGCCATATTTTATATGCAGTTAGAGAGAAGACAGCAAATGGGGCTGGGCTAAGAAACCTCAAGACCCACCTCAGGTGACCCACTTCCTTAAGCTGGGCCCCTCCTCACATCCCTCCTTCAACTGTGGACTAGGTGTTCAAATACATGAGGGGGGGCATTTCACATTCACACAACAGTATGTGAGCCAGACACAGTCATTCCCTAAAAATTTACTATTTGAAACGTAACCAATCTTGCCTGTTACTGATTAAATCCTTGTTTGCTCATTTATAACTAGAAGTGTAACTGACAGAACGTCTTTCCTGGCTTATCTCCAGCATAAACTCCTTGCTTCACATAATCTAGATACACTTTCAAAAACCAGTCTTGGTTACTAGCCATTTCCTATGTATTTATTCCAGGTTTACTGGAGTATAATTGACAAACGGTGTCACTATATCGCCTTCCATGTCTCTCAAAGGGCAGAGACTCTGTCATATTTATGTTCAAATGTTACATACCATTTACCAAGGTTCCTAGTAAACCATCTCAATAAATGTTTTTTAAGATTTATTTATTTTTATTTTATGTGCATTAAATGTCTGCATGTATGTTTGAAGGTGCCAGATCCCCTAGTACAGTTTTGAGCTGTCATGTGGTTGCTAGGAATTGAACCTAGGTCTTTTGGAAGAGCAGCCAGTGCTCTTAATCGCTGAGCCATCTCTCCAGGCCCCCTCAATAAATGTTTGATAAAGGCTCAAAGGCAGAACTCTTGCTTAATATGCACAGGGCCTTAGATTCCACCCCAGTGCTGCTTTTTACCCCAAAACAACAGCTATTAAGGTAAAACAGTAGAATTAGGGTGTCGCTCAGAGGTAGTGAGCATGATTGCCTAGCATGTGTAAAGCCCTGATTTTGATCTTCAGAACCTCCCCGAGCAAACTAAAATAAAACAAAATACCAGATGATGTGTAAGGAGATATCATTACATGATTTCATTAGGTTTTTCTTTTTTACTTCTAGCCCTTATTTAATAAAATATTGCTCAAACCAGGATAGAATAAAGGAATACTGTATTTCAAAATAAACAAAGCTCTCATCAAAAAAATATTTTAAGGCCAGCAAGATGGTTTAGTGGATAAAAGCTCTTGCCCAATAAGCCTAACAATCTGAGTTTTATCCTTGGAATCCACTTTTAAAAGTTGGATTCAGTGGGATTCAACCTGTAATCCCAGTGCTTCTACAGTGAGAAGGCAAGCAGAGCATGAGCCTCTCCCAGAAGCCTTCAGGCCTGCTAGCCTAAAGTACATAGCATGGCAGAAACAAGAAAGACCCCAGCAAGGCTGAAGGAGAGAATTGACTTCAAAGGTGTCCTTTTACCGTGTGCACACCATGGCATGCATGTGCACTGATCAGGGAGAGAAAATAAAGGTTATGTATAACTTGTAAATACAAACTAAATAAACATCTTTGTCCTATTCTGTAAAATATACCCAAGTAAAGATAAGTTGAATGATCATTAAAGTCAATATAACATAGCCAGGTGATGGTGGTACATTCCTTTAGTTCCAGCACTCTGGAGGCAGAGGAAGATAGATCTCTGAGTTCAAAAACAGCTTGGTCCACAGAGTAAATTCCAGGATGGTCAAGGCTACACAGAGAAGCCCTGTCTCAAAAACACACACACACATACCACACACACACACACACACACACACACATATGCCTTAGAGTTTCTATTGCCCTGAAGAGACACCATGATCCTGGCAACTCTTATAAGGAACATTTAATTGGGGCTAGCTTACAGTTCAGAGGGTTAGTCCATTATCATAATGGAAAGAAGCATGTACAGGCAGACATGGTGCTGGAGAAGGAGTTGAGAGTTCTACATCTTGATCTGCAGTCAGTAGAAGGAAGACTGAGACCATTGGCCAGACTTGAGCTTCTGAGACCTCAAAGTTGACACTCAGTGAGCCACTTCCTCCAACAAGGCCACACCTACCCAACAAGTCCACACATTCTAACAGTGCCACTTCTTATGAGCCTATGGAGGTCATTTTCTTTCAAGATGTGCGTGCGTGCGTGCGTGCGTGCGTGCGTGCGTGC